CCCCCCCCAACCCCACTCCGCTTCCCCCCGAACTCTCTCCCCCACTCTTCTTCAACCCCGCCCCCCTTTTCCTCCCTCACGCCCACGATTCTTCAGTAACGACTGACTCATTTGCTGTTAACCCACTAGCTATCTGACTCACATTTACCCTTAGACTCGTTCTCTCTCTCGAAGCCCTCAGAGCTTTGTTTTTTCTGATCCTCCAGGCCAGTGCATGAGCCTCACTGTGAGGGAGCCTTACCAGACATTTTTTTTGGACGGAGGAATAATCATTTTTTTGTGACCAAGTTTTTTTTGGATTTTTTTTTTATCTAAATAAAAGCACACTTTTTGACGCTTTCAATAAAATTATTAATCTTAATTTTTTGCCTCAGTTTGGAAATGTAATAACCAAAAGTTGGTGGTCCAAGATGTGGAATTAAGTGCATGTGATTTTGGGTTGTGGCGACATGCAAATTCCTTGCGAAATCACTGATGCACGCGCGTTGTTTTTTCTCTTTTCTTTCCTTTTTTTCTCGTTTTATTTTCTCTTTTCTCTGTCTTCTCTTTCTTCCGTTCTTTCTTTCTTTCTTGATTTTGTTTCACACGCTTCCTGGTTTTGACTTGCCGGACTGCCGTAATTATTAAAACCAAAAAAACAAGAAGAAGAAAATAATTATAACAATAATAATAAGATTAAATGCTGGACCGAAGCCTTCCGAAGTATGCCATCTAATGTAGGGGTTTCCCTTTTTCTTTCCCCGATTCCCGTTTTCTGTCTGGTACGGTCCTCCCATCCTCTCCCCGTTGCTTTGGACTCCTCTCTCGTCCTCTGTTTATTTCTTAACTTCCTTGTTTATCTTACGTTGATTCGTCCGGTTCCATCCTTTTCTTTTCGTTATTTTCATTTACTTCCCTCCTCCTCCACCTCCTCCTCCTCCTCCTCCTCCTCCTCCATCTCCCTCCGTCGTACTGCTATATGCTTTTTATTATTTTAATTTGTCACTTTTATGATTTATTATCGGTCTTATTACTACCTCTTCACCCATGTGCCTCTGAACTGCCATTCCTTATTCATTCTCGCTCTTTCTTGTCTGTCCTTTTTGGATAAATGGTGCATCTCTTTTTTTTTTCTTTCTTTTTCACTTAACCGGCGATTTATTGGGAACTGATAACGTATGATAACGTTCTTATCAACACAACTCTCTAATGGTTTATTTATCCTTTTACAATACTGATCTTCTATCTGCTCTCATTGACATTAAATGGCCATATTTTTTGGGCATATTTCCGCTTCATTCACCTCGACCTCTCGAATTTTTTTTTTTCATTTCCCTCCTCATCCGAATCCTCCGGAAAAAAAACAATAATGGTAACTGATCATCTGGGTATATTTTTGCTCCTTCTTTGGTCACTATTCGTAAAAAAAAAAAACAAAAAACAAAAACCAAAACAAACTCTGGCTCCCACTCGCCGGCCCTGGGACTCTCCCCCCCCCCCCTGTGCGCGTTGGCCCCCCCCCTCAAAGGTGCTCCGTTCGTGTGGCCGCCGCCCAAGATGGTTGAAGTGGTGGAGGAGGGGCCCCGCCCGCCTGCGTGGGCGCCGTCAGGGGATCCCACGCAAGTCCCTAGACCAAGGCATGTCGGTGGGCCCCCCCCTAAGAGGCCTCCCCTCTTGCCCACCCCCCCCCCCCAAAGATTATGACACCATTGTCATTAAGGCTTCCCTCCCGGCCAGCACCCTTCTGAGCCTGCCCCCGCGCCCCCGCTTCTGCCCCGCGCCCGCCCCCGCTCCTGCCCGCTCCTGCCCCGCCCCTGCTCCCCCTGCTGCTGCTGCTGCTGCTGCTTGCTGCTTCCGCTGCCCCTAGCGCTGCCAAAGCTAAGCCTGGCAAGATAGAGCCCCCGAAGCCGGTTCCCGTGACAGAGCCGATGCCGACCGTGAACCTTGCCTCCGCCCCCCCGCGGCCCCCGCCAAGCCGGTGCCCTCGGGCCCGAGCGTGCAAAAGCTGACCGAGGCCAAGCCTGCCAAGCCCGCGCCCGCCAAGGGTATCCCCGGCTTCAAGCATGTTAGCTCGCCAAGCCCGCCCCGAAGCCCCGACCTCCAGTCCCGGCTTCAAGCCTGTCGCGCCTCCCAAGGGCCCCGCCCCCGGCCCCGCGCCAGGGGCCCCCTCCGCGCTTGCCGCCAAACCCATCTCCCCCTGTCTCTGTCCCATTGTGAACGCTGCCCCCGCTCCCGCCCCGCTCCTCTCCCCGCTCCCGCCCGCCCCCGCTCCCCCCGCTCCCGCACCTCTCCCTGTTCCTGCTCCCGCCCCGCCCCCGCCCCCGCTCCTGCTCCTGCTCCTGCCCCCGCTCCGGCTCCAGCTCCAGCTCCTGTGCCAAAACCTGCAGCCCCCAAGCCCCCCGCTCCAACAGGCCCCGCTCCAGCCCCCGCTCCCGCCCCGGCACCCGTGATGGGCGGCATGCCCAAGCCCACGCCCGTGCCAGGCATGGGCGGGCCGACCAAGGGCGTGCCCCAGACGAGCGGCCAGAAGAGCGCCCCCCGCCGAGGCCGCGGCGTGATGAACCAGGCCGCCAGCACGAGGATCCCGGTCTGCTCCGACTGCATGCGCCAGATCAGGTAGGAGCGAGCCGCCGCGCCGCCGCCGCCCTCGCGCCCGTTCGTTGCCCCGTGGCGTCGTAGCGATTGAAGCATGCTGTGTGTTCTCGTTGTCATTTCTTTGTACCCCGTGGCCAGGCACTGTGACACCCGCTGCCACCGTAGCCAAGGAGCGCCCTTCCTGCCAGGGATGCAAGTCCCCCATCAGGTAATGCTAACTGTCCCTCTCGGATTAACTCTGTAAATATCACACACACACACACACACACACCACACACACACACACACACACACACACACACACACACGCACACACACACACACACACACACACACACACACACACACACACACACACACACATTATAACTGAATCACTCAATCATATTTGCAATAAAAAACACCCAGATCACCGGACGCACAAACACGCACATTCACAAAAAAAACACACAACAAAACATTTTTATTTTGTGTATATCTTCAAGGGAACGATATCTTGGTTTTAAGGCTCAAAACGTGGTTTATATCCATTGTATAATTTACCTTCGTATATCACATAATTCAAGTGAATAGATCTTATAAAACATATTATTTTTTCCCCAATAGTAATTTCGTCTTGATCAAGATATAGTTCCCTCTTTTTATCATTTGTTTCTTTTATGTAAGAGTGTTTTTTTCGTTGGAATGTTCAGTAAAGTCGAGAATGCAGTGTTAACACTTTTTGGCATGAAAATCACCTTCTTGATTTGTAAATATATGTGTACGTGTACGTCTACGTCCATTCATCAGCTGTTAGATCTAAGTTAAATGAACTTCCTATGTATAAATAAAGAAAAAAAAACGAGAAAGAGACAGAAATAAATGAACTTGACATAAACACCACAAAAAAATAAAAATTCAGACCAAAAAATCTATGAAATAAACAAACAAATACAAATAGCTCTATAGACGGAAGAGCACCGCCCCTAAGCCCTCCTTCTGCGTCTCCAGGGGGCCCTTCGTGTCCGCCCTGGGTAAGACCTGGTGCCCCGACCACTTCGTCTGCTCCACCGACACGTGCCGCAAGCCTCTCATCGACATGGGCTTCGTCGAGGAACAAGGTTCTCTCTACTGCGAAAACTGCTATGAGCAATACTTTGCTCCGATCTGCGGCAAGTGCGACAAGAGGGTGAAAGGCGTAAGTGTTCCTTCCCTTGGAGGTTTTGGGTCAAGGGGCTTCTGTAAGGGTGCGTTTGGGGTTTATTTAGGGTCGGGTCGGGATTCTTTTGATTTTAGGGGGAGGGGGAGGGGGGAATTGTTTGATGTTTGGGTCAAGATTTGTTTTTTACCTAATATACCTGTTCAAAATGATACAATAATTTATTTTTTAGCGCAGTAAAGAAAAAAATCAATGCAACAGCAAAAAGAAAAAAAAAAGAAAAAAAAAAACAGTAATAACAAACAGATAGACAAAAGTAGACAAATAGATACAAAGACCAGATCAAACCAGACCAGATAACGAGGATTAATCTCATCCCCCGTCCACCCGCCTCTTCCAGGATTGCCTGAACGCTGTCGGCAAGCAGTTCCATCCCGAGTGCTTCTGCTGCGCCTACTGCGGAAAGGTGTTCGGTTCTGGCGCCTTCTATCTCGAGGACGGTCTGCCCTACTGCGAGGCCGGTGAGTGTCAGCCGCTGTGGTTTTGCTGAGTTGATTTTCATGTATTTCTTCTATTTGTTTACGTAGGTCATGCTGAAATAAGTTGATTTTATGTTTCTTCTATTTGTTTACGTAGGTCTAGTCTTAGAATTCATTTACTTGGAGGGTCGTCCGCAAGATCGTGTAGCATCTTGTGTCACTGTCTTAAATCTGATGCTGAAAATAGTTGATTTTTATGTATTTCTTCTATTTGTTTACGTAGGTCTAGTCTTTAGAATTCATTTACTTGGAGGGTCGTCCTTTGCCGCAAGATCGTGTAGCATCTTGTGTCCTTGTTTTAAATCTGATGCTGAAAGAACTTTACCATCGCTGTAACAGATCGAGTACTGATTAAATTTATATTTTTTATATTTTATATATTCTATTTTTTCTACCATGTCTAGTCGCAATTTGCCCCAAGTTTAGTTCTGCAAAAAAAAAGAAAAAAAAAATGGGTCGAGTAGAATTTATCCCACCTCTTAACAAAAACTTAAGTTATTCCACCTATCAACGAACCATACTTAAGTTACCCAACCTCTCAGTGACCCATACTTTAGTCATACTACCTTTGAACGACCGACACGTAACTCATTCCACCGATTAACTAGCCTTACATGTGTTATCCTCTCTCAGCGACCCATAATCAAGCTATCCCACCTCATAACGACCCATACTTATGTTAAGCCGCCTCTTAACGACTTAAACATAAATTACTTGACTTCTTAACGAGTTATGATCTCTCAACAACCCATAATTGCGTTATCCCACCTCTTAACGACCCATACTTAAGCCATACCACCTCTCAAAGACCTATACTTGAGTTGTCTCTTATCTCTCAACAACCCATACTTGAGTTATCCCTCCTCGACCCATACTTAAGCCATCTCAAAGACCTATACTTCAGTTTTCTCTTATCTTTCAACAAATACTTGAGTTATCCCACCTCTTAACGACCCATACTTAAGCCATACTACCTCTCAAAGACCTATACTTGAGTTGTCTCTTATCTCTTAACAACCCATACTTGAGTTATCCCACCTCGACCCATACTTAAGCCATACTTAAGCCATCTCAAAGACCTATACTTCAGTTTTCTCTTACCTCTCAACAGATACTTGAGTTATCCCACCTCTTAACGACCCATACTTAAGCCATACTACTTAAAGACCTATACTTGAGTTGTCTCCTCTCTCTCTCAACGACCCCTACTTCTTGCAGATTGGAACGACCTATTCACGACGAAGTGCGTGGGTTGTGGGTTCCCCATTGAAGCAGGTGACCGATGGGTTGAAGCTCTCAACAACAACTACCACAGCCAGTGCTTCAAGTGCTCTGTAAGTGTCTCCTTTTCTCTTTCTTCCCCACTTTCTTCTCCCCTTTTGTTTGCTGCACATTTTGAGAGCATGAGAATAACTACTTTTATTTATCTAGATTTCCCCCATTTTTTCATTTCGTGTGATTTTATATATTTTTTTTTTTTTTAATATCGGTATTTTTTTCATATTCACTTTGAGATTTCTATCGTTATTTACGATAAATAAGCATGAGGATTTGATTGGTAGATAGGATGATCTATTGTGAATCTTGATATGAAATATACATTTAATTTGTGATGGATTGCCGAAGATTATGCACAAAAGTGTGGTAGATAATTTGATTTTGTCTTTGTCTTTGAAGAGAATGAATGATTGCCAAACCACCTATGCATGTGCCAATACATACCCTTATGATAATATGTGATCCTCATTATAACATCTTTTGGTCAAAGTGCACGTGCTCGTATCCAAAAAAATCATCTTCCACCATCCCAATAAAAAAAAAAAAAAAAAAAAAAAATCCCCCCCCCCCTTAAAAAAAAAAGCCAATCCTACTTTTTAATGTGTTCCGTCCACGCCCCTCCGTCCTTCCACAGGTGTGCAAGTCCAACCTTGAGGGAAAGAGCTTCTATGCCAAGAACGGCCGGCCTTTCTGCAAGTCCCACGCAGGCCGTTAGATATATATATATATAAAAACAACAATATATATATATATGTATAAAGCTCCGGTTCGGTACCACCTCGTCTCACTTGGTGCTTGTGTGTTCCCTCCTCCTGGACCTCATTCCTGAATCAACCTTTTCGAACTCATTGGCAATTTTTTTTGTTTTGTTTTTCAATTTCTTGGTTCTTGTATTGGATGCCCTTCCCTTTGGATTTGGCCATGTATGTATTTATTCATTCATGCATTCTTCTCTTTTTTTTATTCATGTGTATCTCTCTCTCTTGGTTAACATAGGGAGGTTCTTTATTTTTCATATTCTGTGTTTATCTGTGCATGGGTGTATGTCCATCACGAGCTGGGTCAGTGGCTGGTGTTGCCTCGGTGGTCGATGCAGCTGACCGGCCGCTGTAAAAGGGTTAAAGGTAGATTCCGGAATCTGGCCAATTTTCTTTAGAGAGCTTCTAGAAGGAATTTCCCGACTAGATTTTTATTTCGTTTGTTCAGGTGAACGAACTGTTTTAGTCCCCGTTATTTTATTATTTTTGTGTTCAAAGTTAGTGGATAAATAACTTTTGTAGAGTACGTGTCTCTTCCTCTTTTAGTTGAGTTAATAGTCTCCAAGAAGTGGTCGTTTGCTCACAACTAGCTAATTAGCTAATCAAATAGTCTTAATCCTAGCTTGTGAGACAATTCAGATACACTATCACTACCAAGATAATGGTCATGGCTGCAGATTGACACCACAGAGATAAGAAGAAAAAAACATAAAAATAAGATAAAAACAAAAAAAATAACAAAAAAACAAAAGAAGCCTTGCACCTTATTTGCTCTTTTGTGGGTGTGACTCATGCACTAAACTTTTTTTTTTTTTCATATTTATTTATTTTTTACTCTGACCACTCTCGCTCTGTCTCAGCGGTACAGGAGGTGGCTGGGGGGCCTCTTTGGCAACACTCACATCTCTCTAAACAACATAGTTTTTGCTCCAGCACACTACTCCTTTCTATCTCTGCCTCACACTCTCACTCACGCTCATTTCACAAGCCCTTCCAGTGAAAGATAAAGATAAACCGTGTATAGAAGCTCAGTAGGTGCAGCACACTATTAACAAGGGATTCCCAGTCCTACGTAGTCTGCTTAACCGGAGTAGTAACTAGCCTCTAACCTGCAGAAATGCCACAAGAACCTGGAGGGCCAGAGTTTCTTCGCCAAAGGTGGAAAGCCTTTCTGCAAGGCCCATGCCCAACGTGGCTTCTAGGGCGGCCCAAACAGCTCGCAGGACCCTCCTGTGTCCCCCTGCGGAGACGGGGCGAGGGCCTGTCGTCCTCTCACCAGCAACAGAAACGAAGACGGAAAAGAGAGAAAGAGAAAGAGTCTCGAGCAGCGGCAGTGAGCGTTGTGGCCCTCGCGAGTGCCATCCGCATCACTACTTTCACCAGCGACGAAAAGAAGCACCAGCACACAGCAGCATGCAGTGGAGGAGGAGGAGGAAGAGAGCCGCCTCACGTTGACACTCCCTGCCCACTGTCTCCTTGTTACGCTCTGTTTGTTTACATTAACTGTGCTACTCACATTGGCTAATTGTTGGTGCAAGATTACAGTGCAGGTTTGCAATCGTTCTGTTGCAATTATTTATTGTCCAAAACTTATGTAAAGAAAGGCAATTAGTCAGCCTTTTGACTCTTGTGTAATATGGTCGCAATCACCAGTGATAAGAAAGTCAGTGCCTTGATTTTATCACATTAATCTATATAGAATAAGAATATATAAGCTTTACTGCTTAGTTTAAGGTACACTCAGCCTCTGCAGACACACAACCACAAAACGATTGATATTCTTTGTATTATTATTATTATTACTTCCAACAGTTCTTCCTTGCTTCAGCTGTTTTCAAATCACTGCTGTTTACTGTACTATATAGAGAGGTATATGAATTGTAGAGAACAGAATATTGTTACTCATATGCTATTATTGTATATATGAATTTCACGAAACAAAACCTGTCTAGACACACTAAGGACACCATGTCAACCAATCTAGCAATACGATTTTAACTCGGCTATGCTTGCTTAATCTTCCTGAACGCTGTGTGTTCTTCTGTCCCAACTTTCTTCTCGTGTAATATTCTTTTTTTTTTTTTTTTTGCTGTTCACACGCACCATTGTCAGTCTTCCTGAAGTCACGAACTCCAAATCTCACGCGGACGCCAGAGCTTGCTTAAGGGCCACCCTGTAAAGGACGACTTCTTGACCCTGTAGCAAACCGAGCCAGCGACATAATGACAACCCTGTAGATTTTGTGTTTTTTTCTGTTCAAGAAGGCTGCACACCGAAAACAAAATCAAAAAAATCTTCCAAAAAAAAAATATTATAGAATTGTCTAATATTCGGCGTAAATTATGTTGCGTGTTTCTTGATCTTCCAATTATGTCTGGCCCCTTCTTTCCCAGGGGATTATAAAAAAATAGACATATTGTATTTACTCCTTTATTATCCTTTTATATGTGGGCTTCCTGTTGGGACTTACAAGACCAATTGGTCAAAATTGAAAAGGAGTCAGCTGATTTATGCTGTCAGTTTGGCTCCATTTTATTATTATCATTATCATTATTTTTTAACTTTATTTTCATTGTAATTATTGTTTATTTTTATTTTTGTTATCATAATTAGTATTATCATCATTATTATTACTATTTCTAATTCATTTTTTATTGTCTATATAAAGAAATACAAATAGAATATGAATAGTTTGCCTTAATCTACAAATACATTAAAAAATGACTAAGATATGGCAACATTCCAAGCGACATCAGAGGATAAAAATATTTTGAGAAAAAATATGGAAATAACGAAAAAGAAAAAAAATATATACTGAACGACTATTAAATGATAAAGAAAGAATTGATATAAAGATACACTTCAAATAATAACAAAACAAGGTTTATAAGAAAGTCAAAATTGAAAAAAAAATACATGCAAATTGTTATATTGCATGGAGAGATTTCATAGTTAAATACACCAGAACTATAAAAAAAGAATACAAAGTAGAAAACTTAAACAGAAATATGTGCTACACATTGAGCACACGTACACAAACATACATAAAAGCAAACACGTGTGACTATTCTATATGTAGATAGATAGATAGATAGATAGAGAGAGAGAGAGAGGAAAGAGACAGAAAGATAGAGAAAGAGAGAAGAGAGAGAGGAGAGAGAGAGAGAGAGAGAGAGAGAGAGAGAGAGAGAGAGAGAGAGAGAGAGAGAGAGAGAGAGAGAGAGAGAGAGAGAGAGAGAGAGAGAGAGAGAGAGAGAAAGGAGAAAGAGAGAGAGAGAGAGAGAGAGAGACAGAGACAGAGACAGAGAGAGAGAGAGACAGAGAGAAAGAGAGAGAAGAGAGAAAGAGACAGAGAAAGAGAGAGAAAGAGACAGAGAGACAGAAAGAGAGAGACAGACAGACAGAGAGAGAAAGAGAGACAGACAGACAGACAGACAGATAGAGAGAGAGAAGAGAGAGAACCTCCACTTTTTTTTGACTTATTTTCAGGCCAATTTTAGACTATCGCCATATATATATTTTTCAAATAGATAGAATTCAAAACAATTCACGGATAAGAAGAAGGAAAAAAAGAAAAAAAGACAATTATTTCCTCCATTGGCTTGAATATCCATCGGAAGAGAAGGAACTCACACCAAAAGAGGAAGAAGAAGAAAAAGAAGAAAGAAGGTAAATAGCACATCTACCCAACTAACAACAAATCATATCTCACAGAAACAAACAAACAAACATAACACGAGAGAGAGAAAAAAAATCATAAAAACGATACCCTCAAAATTAAACCATAAGACGTTTGTTTCTAATCAGAGACAAATCAACATCTACGTTATGAATACTCTTCCATCCCAATCTGGAAACCCTCAACGCACAAATATCAACAGAAAGGAACAGAAAGGAACAGAAATTCCGTTGTAAGGACAGGAACTCGCCACTTACCTGTTCAACAACAAGCCGACTCAGGTAAACAGAGGATGTGGGGGGGGGGGGGGTTCTCTACAGACATCTTTTCCTAGAAAGGGGGGGGGGATTTAAGGGGGTCGGGGAGTTCAGGAAGAGGCAGGGAAGAGAGAGGGAGGGAGAGGGAGAGGGAGAGGGAGAGGGAGAGGGAGAGGGAGAGGGGAGAGGAGAGAGAGAGAGAGAGAGAGAGAGAGAGAGAGAGAGAGAGAGAGAGAGAGAGAGAGAGAGAGAGAGAGAGAGAGAGAGAGAGAGAGACAGACAGACAGACAGACAGACAGACAGAAAGAAAGAGAGAGAGAGACAGAGAGACAGAGACGACAGACAGAGACACACAGAGACACACTCAGAGAGAGAGACAGAGAGAACACAGACACACAGAGAGAGAGAGAGAGAGAGAGACAGACAGAGAGACAGAGAGACACAGAAAGAGAGAGAGAGAGACAGAAACAGACAGACATAGACAGAGAACAGTATCCCAATGGCATAAACCTGCCGTGACATCTGGCTCCTCCACCCTCCCCTTCCTTTCCAAACAGCAGAGTATGGGTCAGAAAAGAAGATAATAAAACCTGCAGAATCATGCAATATAATCATCATTCTCCGCATTTTCTCTTTCCTCTCCGTCTCTGAAGAACCTACACGTATTTTATCCAATTAGATTATGAACCAGAATCATGAATATATATATTTTTTCCCTTTAATTTCCATATTCCACATAAAATCTAACAGCACCATGAAACAGTGTCAATCTCTATTTTCTCTAACAGCAAATCAATTAAATCTATCTATAAGTTATTCATAAACTTAAGCAATTTCCTTACAGCACCGACATTCAACTATATTCTCAAAAGGAGTATAGATAGACGAAAAAAATATGCAAATGCGCTAAATATTTACGCACCAAACTCAGCGTTTCAAATAATAGTCTTAAAAGAGAGTATTATGAACGCTAAATAACCATGACTAGGTTTGTAGTAAAGGAATTTAGCATCATATTTACTTCAATTCTGGTCTAGTACATATTCTACTAATAATACCTATGTATAGTATGTCCTATTTCCTTTATTTTTCTCCTGAATGCAGGGAGAGGGAGAGAAGGAGAGGGAGAGGGAGATGGAAAGGAAGGGAAGGAAGGAAGAAGGGACGGAAGGAGAGGGAGATGGAAAGGAAGGGAGAGGAGGAGAGGGAGAGGAAGGAAGGGAGGGAGGGAAGGAGAGTGACATGGAGAGGGAGTGGGAGAGAGAGAGAGAGTGTGCGAAGGTGTGCGGACGTCCCTCGTCAGAGCTCCAATATTTTCTTGATTTTCTACGCGCTTATATCTTCTTTCAGCCAGTAACTACGCTGGCTGCCAAAGGTATGATTCCAATACAATTATAAGCCATAAAAATCCAAAAGGAACCTGAAATTCGAGTGAAAATGGCATAAACATTTCATCCCTGCCTCACTGCCCGTGCCCTACCCCGGCGCCACTCGCGTAAACAATACATTGTACTTCCCTCACGGATAGAAATTCCCTCCTCCTGCACCTGCTTCTGCCGTGATATATATTATTGCAGCACTAATGGCCTCTGCAACTCGAAGCAAGATTAAAAAGACGGATAAGGAAGCGGACATGGATGAGGGAACTATCCTGACCCTAGATGGCGCCACCACCAACAACAACAACACTGGCGACAAGGACGGAGCAGGTGGCCCCGCCCCCACACCTGTCGTGCCCGACGGAGCCCAGGTAATCGCGAGTGAATTATCAACCACAAGCATATCAGGTGAAATGTTGCCTTTCGTAAACATTATTTGCAAAGTAATTCAATCCCAATTTGATTCTTATTTCATCAGATTAGACAGTATAAACAAAGCAAAATTTAAACAAGTTGATCACATGCAAGCTAAAATCAGTGCATTAGAAGAAAAAATCACTCAACTTGAAGCTAGCATTGACGATGTTGATCAATATGAACGAAGGGATACAGTGATAATTAGTGGCTCCTCACTGCCAGTAGAATCAACCAACGAAAATTCCCTCAGATATAATAGCGAACACGATCAAACACCTCCATGTTAATATGTCACATTCTGACATTAACGTAGCACACCGCCTTGGTCAAAAACTGCAAGGCAAAAGCAGGCCAATCATAGTGAAATTGCAAAACCGAGCTAAAAAAAATCCGAGTTAGTCCAGGCGTGCATTGCAACAGAGCAACAACTTCACATCAATGAGTCACTAACCCCTAAACGTAGGCATCTCCTCTCAGTCAT